ATATATATATATATATATATATATATATATATATATATATATATATATATATGTCAGACTCAGCATTTAAAATAATGTTGGATGGATGGATAGATGATGGATGAATGACTGAATGATAAGTGGTTGATTGTGACTTGACTGGGAGAAAGGAGAGTCCCTCAGCAACTTCTCCCTTTCAGTGACAGGCCATAAATGATGCCCAGCTGTCTAGCTTATTTAATTGTAGCTAATGTGAAATCCAAGTGTAGCAAAGACCTATGGCAAATACCGTATCTTCTGCTGAGCCACAGTAAAGCTTAGGATGTACAACCAGGTTTCCATGTTGCCATTGGGTTTTAAACAGCAAGAACAGAGCTTTCCTTGTGATAAACATAAACACATAGAAACAAAAATAAAATACCTCCAGGGGTAAGTAAGTGATGGGTGCATTCAGCAACAATTACAAAACGAATGAGAGCTGTTGTTCCTATTCTTCTTTAAGGTAGCTGTGCTTTCATGCTGTCTCCGTGACCTGTTATTCCATTAGCCCTTAGAACACTATAGAACACCCAAGCTCCATGCTGACAAACACCAATAGTGAAACTGTTGCTACAGTCAATTCAAGCAGCCTTCTCCCTTGGGTCACATTATTATTATTTGGAATACAAGCAGAACTGTGGCTCCCCAAGCCAGCAGGGCACAAATGAGAGCAGTGATTCATAAGGTGACTCCAGCAAGTTTGCAGATGTGCAACTTTCATGAAGGCTGACACTCACGGGAGAAGCTCGGGGTTGACTTTTTGAACTGGTAAGCACTCCCTGGCCTCACCACCACTCAGGGCTTAGAGGACTGTGGAAGGGTGAAGGTTCCTGAGGATAGGAGTGAATCTGACAGAATGTTGATTTACCAGAAATAAACCCTTCAAATCAGATCACACCCATGTCAGTAGCTTTTTGAGCGGGGAGATGGTACTTCTGCCTCTTCAAATGCTCCTGAAAGTCCTTGAACTCTTATACCATTGGATTAGTCTTTTGGGGGCTGGGTCATCTGGGGTCTTAGTTCTACCCTGGTGAGGTTGGATGAAAGTGATATTGGTCTAAAAATATAACTTCCTGAACTTTTAAACCCTCAAATCTTTTTTATAATACAACTTTTCTTAATCCTGAACTTGATTTCCTTAATTAAAAAATCCATTTGTTCTTCAATATTAGTAAAGTTCGAAAGAAGCAAAAATGGGCACAGATCAGAGATGTGTGCAAAGAAGGATGTGGAGGAGAGTGGGTAGTGATGGGAGCTGATTAATGCCCACTGAGGTGTCTGCCAAGTAGGTCCCCTATACCAAGGTCCTTCCTCTCAGATAGACTTGGAAAGTGACAAGCCTGGTCATCAGGTGACATCGTACCAGTGAGCTGCTGTAATTGGGCGCATAGTCAAGCTTGAGGTCAAATGCAGTTCTCGAAGGTGAGGCTGCTGCAGGAATGAGGCTCTGACTCATCATCGATATGTGATTGGCAGTGATGGGGACAGACCCAGAGCTGTGTGTGAGGACCACTTTTGCCTGTCTTACTGCCTTGAATAAGGACTTCTTTGGAATGAAAGTGAGGGTGTTCATCACACCATCACGGAAAAGCCTAGAGTCTGTTAGGTTCTTAGTCAAGAGGCTATAGGGACCTATGTTGGGACTGAAGTCTGGTGGGTTCTGTTATGTTTATGCTGAAATGTGGGAATGACAGAGAGAGCAGAGGCCTGACACACAGGGTCTCCCTGCACAGTGAGATGAGGTAGCAGGCCTGTGTTGTGCCCCTTGCAGTCGGCTGACTGGACATGCTATTATACAACTGTCTTCTCTGACTGAAAAGCACAGACACAAGACCCTTTGCATAGGAGCAAACAGCACAAGATTGCACTTCTAGGGCAAAGGTGAGCTGGGAGCCAGCTCAAGCGGAGCTCTTGAGGTGGTGGTGAAGGCTCAAGAGCCAGGGAACTGTTCCACCAGAGAAACAAAAGCTGTGTGTATCCAGGAAGGGGAGAACTGTTTCCTAAAAGGCACTCAGAGAAAAACAAACAAGCCCCTGAAATATGCTTGCTGTCAGCCTTGGTGTTTAAAGTTTGGGTCTCCTTGAGGGCACCGTCTCATGCTGCTTCTCTCTTGATTTCAGCTCCCATTTTCGCCAGCAATCATTCAACCCGAAGTGGAGCAGCTGCTGGGGCCGTGCCACCCCCACATCCTGTCAGTCACCCTTCTCCGGGACATAATGTACAGGGGAGCCCGCACAACCCCTCCTCCCAGTTACCTCCCCTCACAGCTGTGGATGCAGGCACTGAGAGGTAAGGCCATCTGTCTCTCCCTCATAATAGGTGTTGCCGCCAAACCTCCCTCTACAGAAAAGAGGTCTGACAGTTGCTGGATTTTATTAATAATCTGTTGGTGGGTTGAGTTACCCAGGGGTGACATTTTAAAAGTAACATACACAAAGCATGGGGACCAAATATCTCATTATCTGTTACATCTCTTTTTTAAATATGTAGCAAATGAAATGATCCTGGCAGTTGACAGCTCTGGTGTCAGGAGCTGGAAAATGTATCCCAACCGCCCATATTTGCCATTTTTCTTCTCCTCATTTTGGGACTCAGTTTCCAACTAGATGAGGAGCTTTCTGGATATGGTTGCTACCATAGTCACACAGATACCAGCACAAGCTTGTGTTGCTAGGCAACCTTCCATTATTGACAGAATGACTGGAAATTAAAAAAAAAAAAAGTACACATACAAGTTTGACTTGGCTCATGGTTTCCAAGCTGTCAGCCCATGGTTACTGGGCCCTGCCTTGGGTTCATCAGGATGGGAGTAGATGGCAGAGGGGCCCTCTTCACCTCGTGGTGGCAAGGGAGCAAAGAAAGAGGAAGGGACGGTGTTTTCATTTGTCCCTTCAAAGCCATGTTGCCAACAACCTAACCTCATTCCATTGGACCCCACTTCCTCAGAGCTCCATTTTTCCCCCTAAGGGGCCCTATAGTATAGGGTGGTACCAGGGCAATGCCTTGACACACAGGCCAATGGGCAAGTGTTCGAGTCCCAACTGCAGCACCTTGGAGGAAAATTAAAAAGTGACAGATAATGTTATTTGACTGATGAGAAAGTGACTGGTCACTCCATACTTTTTGTTGGTATCACCCTCATAAGGAATTTTTGTGGAGAGAGAAAAAAAAATCCCTACATAACTGTATGGTCCGTGATGTTTTTACTTCTGAATTCTCCTATGGCTTTAGAGGTTAGGGGCTGGGGTTGGGTTCTCATACCTCTGCTCCCCAAATACATCTGTTTCTGTGAACCACAAACCCAAACAGTTGCTCAGCAAGCGAAAGACTTGGTGGTACAGGCATCGAGAGAAGAGGTTTTCTCCACACTGGCAAAGAGGGAGCAGCACCCCAGACAGTAAAGGCACCTACAAGACGGGGAGGAGGAGAGGGCACACGGCAAGTGCACAGGCCTTGGTCACTCAGGATAGCAGCATGCTGGATGGGTGATGGTGGGCTGGCTTCTGTTGAGCCATGCGCTTTTAAACTGAGGAGTCGCCCTTACCTTTCTGGAAGCAAATAACCATTGTTACCAGAAACATGCAATGAGATTGACATCATAGAGGAAGAACTCTGCATAACGGAGGCATTTGCAGTTTGGGTGAGAGCCATTTCCGGGTTCCTTATGAATGCTGTGGTGCCTTGGAAGTAAGACAGAGAAGTAAGGACAGTTCACTCAAGAGCTTTATTAGGAATCAGAATTGCTGAAGAATAGAGAAAAGGAGCCAGACCAGTGACCAGGTTGTCTCCAGAAAACCGTGCCTTTAACAAAATTTGAGAAATTCAAAACAGAGAGTTACCAGCCTGGTCTACAGAACAAGTCCAGGACAGCCAGAGATGGGGCAGGGGAGCAGGCAGAGAGAGACAGAGAGCTGGACTTTAGAGCTTGACTTTTATGAGGAAGTAAAAGAGCCACAGGATGTATGCGATAATTAGAAATGTGAATCAGAAGGTAAGAATTATTTTAACAGTCCGGTGTGCATGGTAAAAGTTAGCCTCCCTTTGAAGGAGGCTGTCAGCAAAACCACGTCAGCGGTTACCAACCATTACATTCATGGTCGCCAGAGACAGGAAGTCTGTCCTTCCAGTTACCTGATGCATTCCCGAAAACTGAGGGGAGCCTGTCCCTTTTAGCATTTGTACAGTTTTCAAGTGGACTGAAAATGGGATTCACCATAGCAAACTCGCAAGTGGCTTTGTAGACAAACAGCTGCTGTGACTGAGGGATTAGGGTTGGACTCTAGAGAATGCTCAGTGGTCATTGTAATCAATAATGTAAGCAGCCATGGAGGGAGAAAGGAGGAAAGGGGGCATGATGATCATGTAATAGCTTATGTGAATGAATGAATGAATGAATGAATGAATGAATGAATGAATGAATGAATTAGACATTTGCATTTTTTTGTGTGTTTATGTTACTGCTTGCCCTGGAGACAGGGTGTGTACCCTGACCCTGCATCTGACTACGCAAATATGAGATTTGGGTTATCTCTTCCAGTCAGGCTAGAGAAGAGGATGACATGAAGAAACCCTGAATTATTCACTATGTTTGCACTAGGGACGAGGATGAAAACATGGAGAGGAAATGGGTTTACCTTCCGCTCTGGGTTTATGCATCTTTGCCCTGTTTGCCTGGGAAATCCCCCAGTAAAAACTCCAGCAGTTCTCTTAACGGAAACAGGTTGATCACACTTTGCCATTTTAGTGGGACACTGGCATCTTTTCCTGTTCTGCAGGCATTGATTCATCATTTACTTAGCTTTAGCTCATTAATAAAATGGGCTGAGTCACTGTCAGAAGTCAGAAAAGGCTCACCACAGCTGCCCATCTAACACCAAGTTCTTTGATCTTGACCATCATAAAATAAATGTAAGTTTTCTCAAGTTGACAAGAGTCTATTTTTATTTTTAAATACTGACTGAATGACACATAATTTCAGGGATTTGAGCAGTGACACAACCCATCCTCTGATGTTGATTTGAACTTCTTATGGGAAGCCGTGTTTTACTGTGTCAGCAGAGAATGTCAGCTGCCTCTCTCCTTTCTGAAGGCCACAAGCATGGTACACACTGTAGTGACAGGGATGGGAGCTGTGTGCGCCACAATGTAAGGCTCTTCTGAACCCCACTTCCAAGGCATAGAAAGGACTGGCTCTCTCTACAGAGTTTATAGTCTGGCACAGGAATTAGACCCCAAAAAGGTTAGGCAACGTTGTTTTGGGAAAAAATAGTCAAATCACCTTTACCAGATACAGACTGTCAGTTTCTCGAGTCCCTACTGAGTGCTAGGAAGCAAGAGCTTGTGTGTTTCTCACCATCCAGAGCTAATGCTTCTGGGGGCCACGTTCTGTCTCATCACTGGAAACTTGCTACCATCTTTTCTAGATGCTAAAGGCCAGAGTCAGCATTTTTTTCCTTACTGTTTTTACAATTGGTAAAGCTCTCCATTCTGAGCAAATCAGCCCATTCCCTACTCCTCGCTCATTTTGCCTGTTGCTATGCCTTAGCTCAGCCTTTCCAAGTATTATTTCCAAGTATTGCCATGCTCAGCTCAGTTCTCAACCCAGAAAACCTCTTCCTCTCATGGGTCAGAGGCACGTTCCCTTGTGGAACTCCTTGGTTCTTAGGATCTGTTTCATCGATGTACCAGCCAGAGCGGAGTTATCATTTGCGAGGGCAAAAGCCTGCTTTCCTCATAAGCTTCAGAGCACTTTGCTCTGAGGTATACATTGGCAGGTGCGGAGGCAGCTTCTACAAGGGATGAAGTGCATTGAGGGGGATGTGGAGGAAACAGGCAGTCATTGCCTACACACCGGCGCAATGGAAGGTTCCCACAGTATTCTCTTTGATTTTTCTGCCCCCCCCCCCGCTCAGGACAGTGGTATTGATTTTTTTCAATGCTTCTGCCATCTTATACTTTCTACACGCTTTGATGCAGCACCTAGGTGCTAGTCTACTGCACTTAGCCACACACACTAAGAGGCACGGTGCTTTCTTAACGGCCATCAACACCAGATGGTACCAGTATCTCCTATTTGCATATGCAGCATCAGGATACGTCACGACTAGGCCTGTTGCTTTCCTGAGCAAATGGGTAACTCGGTGTCTTCATTTACACAGCTTCTGCATAGCCCTAGACACAATCTTCCCCCTCTCTTCTTAATCTCCCGGTGTATTTTCAGTAATCATAAAAATGTAACAAGAGAGTAAAGTGTATCGGGGTCTATTCTAGTCCTTGTGGCACTTTGGTTTGTTGCGTCCTTCACTGGGCAGTTTATGAAGCATGAGAGATGGTGGACATTGAAAACACCGCAGGAGACATGATGAACTGGAGCACTGCCTTCCCTGAGCACCCAGTCTAATGGAGGACAGCCAAGCCAATAGGCCACAGTGACTTAGGAGAGTAAAGCAAGGGCGATCAGTGGCTTTAGAGGTGCAGAGCAAGAACATCTTCTCTCAAAGTAGGGGAGAAAACAGTGTCTCCCCTGAAAACCAGGGGTCTATAGGCAATAAGGGTATGTGCAAATGTAAATAGGGAACAGCATGAGTGTAGCCAAGAGTAACCCTGCATTAGCCACATTAAGGAGTTTGAGCGTCTCTTGAGAACAAGAATTTATTGTTTGGCCAGTGGGAAACCGCGGTGACTATGGCGTTCATTCTGAATGTGCCTGATGTTCACCCACAGAGAATTCAGAATGTTTTCCAGAAGAAATGACAGGAAAGTGTTCCATTTGGGCCTCAGACAGAGGCTGTCTTTTGCAACTCTTAGACTTAACACTGTGGGGCTGATGGTATTTTACTTTCTAATACAACTTGAAAGGATTATTTTGTTCTGTGCCATTCTGAGTGTGTACACTACATAGATAGAGCTTTTCAGGTCATTGAAGAGTCCCTGAGTGTCAAAAAAGATTGAAAATTATCTCTATATTAGAGAGAGTGTAACAAAGGTCCGGAAACCGAAGGCACTCATTGGCCTTGCTTGTCTGTTATATTAGAGGAGGGTTGACTTGTGCTAAGAGTTCTCCGAGGGACTGCCCGCATCGTCACATAGCCACAGTTTACTCGGGGAGCATCACTGAGTGACCCCTGACTTGTATGGCAGAGACTTTGTCATGTGCACAGAGCCATTCCTAACCCAGAGGGCAACAAATAAACGCAGACAATAACTAAAGTCTATCAATCTTGATTCTCATGATCGTGTGACATGAAGTGAGCACCACAGCAGCAGACTCTACCACAGGATGATGAAGA